TAGTCTTCGACGATGCTAAGTGTTATGATTCATAGGTGTACCTTATGGTGAATGACCGTTTGTCAGTGTTAGAATAAATCTAAGGCATGCCGTCGATCATCCGAGGACCAAGCAATCACACGAGCATGACACCATGTTAACGAGGTTCACCGATATGGCTACATCCCCGAGGCCTGACTATGGGCGCTCCTCCCCATGACACCGTCAGAATACCGCACCTAGTCGCCCTGGATGCCGGCACATGCCGCCGGCTTCCCCTGTGTTCCTGTGCTATTATGTTGGCATAGGTTACATCATGTCTCTACCCTCGCTATATATGAGAGGACTAGGATAAAAGTGTCCTACTAGGACACGACTCCATATCCTATCTAAACACAATACTACTCAGAGTCCAACTGTAACCTACCTTATACACGATATTCGACACAACTCTAACAAACTCCACCTTGGCGAATATTCTCCGCCATCTTGAATTCGTCAATGCATCAAACTTCCATGTACATTAGACTTGAGTTCATCCCATGAGTACCGCTGCTACTCCAAAGACTCCATATGACTCCACCTGCAACTTGTAGTCCCTTCTGTTCTTGACCACAGTCAACACTCGAGCAAAATTAAGTTCCTTGTTACTCTAGTCCGTGCTCCCAACTTCCAGAGTATCCGTCCAATGCCATCACATATTTATCAGTGACCTGCGTGAAAGTGAAGAACTCACATATTGGATGTCACACATAGGAGTTACCTGAACTCAACATCACCGCTCCTTTCTTGACCGCCTGTCTGAAACTTGAAGAACTTCACCGTTGCTTGTAGTCATCCCGAGTCAAATTTGCAGTTGTCTCACCACATGTATGACCACCAAAGCCCTGGTACGTCTCCATGCCCCATGCATACCGCATGCCTCGTCGCTATTACTGCGTCGAGCCTCCACTGTCCTGGTCGAGTCTCAAGGGTCACGAACCCACACCACTCAACCCCGACTGCAGAGTACCATCGGTCATCATCGACCGATGACGAGTTTTACACTTCCATCAGACCACCGGGCTCCAGTCCAAATTACGCGTCCCTCACTTTTCCCGCTGAATAGGCTTCGATTCTCTGGATCCTTACATCGTAGCCCCTCAATCCAGCTCCACCTTCAAAATGACTCCATTATAGATGATTAGTCCACCCTCATGCCCCGTCGACTCCAAGCTCTCATGTGCACCATCTTTAATCAACCCTGCGTCGTAGTCTTGTCGAAGCCACACAACCCCTCAGGCCTGCACCACGTGTTTCCACGCCCAGAAGTCGGTCACCATCAGCATCACGCTCCTATGTTGCTGTTGCCGATCCCACCACCGTCTTCTGTACCAACTGACTTGCGTCAACCTGTCAGACTGTTCAGTCCGACCCAGCCGAACTTATCCGACTGCATGACACACTCCAGACTCCTCAAGCCATCATAGTGACAATTGCCATCCATACACAAATGTGTACCAACAAAGAAAACTCAAAGCACAATCCTTCATAGCCTTCCTGTGTGAACATCCAAGAAAATTAACAAAGCAAGCCAAGCTCCTAATTCACCACACGTGCGTAGCTTTTGAACGAAATTCTCTATTTCTTTCTTGATAAGCATCACGATCTGACTCTGAGTCCTTGTGCCAAATTTTTTTCATCAAACAAATCTCTTTGTCCTTGTGCGTTCGGAATACCGTCCAACACAGCCAGCACGCCTCGGCCTTGACCTGCTCTGCAGCTGGGGCTTTTACCCCAGCGAGCCAACCCCGCATGGGTCGGCCTGCCCAAGAGCCAGCCTACGTACGTCGTCGCCGCCGCTTGCACGCGCCTTGCCACGATCGGATCTTGTCATCGATCAATCCGAGTCGCTGAACAGTTGCTCGTTGCCTCTGCCTGCAACCCTCTCGTACACGTTACGCCGGCGCCTTATGATCTATCCATCCAGCTCCACACGTGTCACATGCGCGTGCCGCTGCTGCTTCCGATTCGATCTGGCCGCCGCCCGACGCCTCACACACGATCATTGATGATGCTTGCTACAGATGCTTCCAATCACTTCTTGAAGATTACAACATGACAACTCTACTTCTAGCTCGCAACTCGCCGACCATACTGTCCCGCATTACGATCGCTTCCACAGGTTTCTGTCAATGTTCTCTTCATCCTCTTTTCAATCAACAATCCATGACCTCCGAACAACTTAGCTCTGATACCACTTGTTAGAATAAATCCGAGACATATCGTCGATCATCCGAGGACCAAGCAATTACACGAACATGACACCAAGATTTGTTAACGAGGTTCACCGATATGGCTACATCCCCGGGGCCTGACTATGGGCGCTCACCATCACAATACCGCATCCGGTCGTCCTGGACGCTGGCACATGCCGCCAGCTTCCCCTGCATTCCTATACTATTATGTTGGCATAGGTTACATCGTGTCTCTATCCTTGCTATATATGAGAGGCCTAGGATACAAGTGTCATATTAGGACACGACTTCATATTATATCTAAACACAATACTACTCAGAGTCCAAGTGTAACCTACCTTGTACACAATATTCGACACAACTCTAACAATTAGTGGCGGCACTATGTGGTGTTTGTGATGTCAAGCGGCATAACAAAGTTTGGATTAGTTTCACCAATACTTGTGTGTTTATCTATAGTTTGTCCACATGTATGCACATATAGTTTTTAGATCATTTGCTTCGACTCCTAGCTAGTGTCGTCACTTGTGCTTGTATTATGTGAGACCCTTATATCATGTTGATTGAAATCCTTTTGTGTAGTGGTGTGTCACCCCTTGCCCCAGTATATCTCCTAAATTGTGCACTCACACGAGGGAGAGGATTGTGTCACGCACGTGTAGGAGCATGCAGTTTTCTTACCACACGATTGGCTCCCGATTCAAAAATTGGTTTGCTTTATGCATGTGCTTTATCTCTTAATTACCTTAGATGGGGTCCATGTGTGCAGCTTTTTGCTACCCACCCATCCCACCTCTCATGACTTATCTTTTGACTTTTCAATTTGAATCAATTATATCTTTTGAATCGAAAGTCCAATTCATTTTTGTTTGCATAATCGTGTTCCTTGTGAGAAGGGCTTTGAAATAAGATCACTCTTCAATAAGTTATGACAAGTTCTAAAACATCACAAAGTTTCAAGTATTAAAACTTGATAAGGACGAAGGGTAAATTCAACAAATTTGAATACAAAAACTTAAACCCTGCACCCTAAATCCTAAGCCCTAAAACCTATGTCTGCCAAGTTTTGACTATTAAAACTGGATAAAATGAAGGATAAATTCAGCAAGTTTCAAATACTATAACTTTAACCCTGCAACCTAAACTCAAAGCTCTAAGCCCTAAGCCCTAAACCCTAAAAGCAATTGGATCTTGATAAAAATTGATGAAAGTTGGTAAAAACTTAATATTAGTAGTAGCAATTTTTATTGTTTGAAACTTGGTAAAAGTTTAAAATTTGCAAAATTGTAATCAAGAGTGGTCTTGTTTTGAAAATCCTCGTTGCAAGGAACACGAATATGCAAATGATATATACATTGGAATTTTGGTTCATAAGATAGAATAGATCTAAATTCAAAGTAAAAAGAAATACATTAGAGGTGGGATGCCCGAAAAGCTGCCATGCATGCACCCACGAACAAAAATTATAGACTAATCACATTACGAGTTTCCGAATCCCAAAGCAATTGTGTGGCCAACTGAGTTGGCGCCCCTGTGAATTTCCCACTCTCATGAGCATCGTAAAAAGTTTGTTTAGGTGGGCGATCACCCCACCTAAAGTGGTCCTAATCTTGTGCTTTAGAACATGCTATCGAAGATTGATACTCCCTTCGTCCGGAAATACTTGTCCCAGAAATGAAGAAAATGGATGTATCTATAACTAAAATAAGTCTAGATACATCTATATCTAGGACAAGTATTTCCGGACGAAGGGAGTAGATTGTTATTTGCGGCTGGCTCCACAACTGAGTGCCAATGTTCAAAGAGATTTCTTTTTGAAACACACACCATATATCAATTAACTAAAAAGGTTATTACAATCATTTGTTACAAAATATGCCACATAGGCGGAAAACTATTTAGAAGAACACCATCGGACCTACCGTCGAAGCTAAACTCCGCAATCTCATGTGGTAAGCCGATTAATTTTGTTCAAAGAGATTCCGGCGTGACATTGTCTTGTGGATTCTTAGTTGTTAATATAACCAAGCAGTTCTTTCTTTTGCCTATGTGGGAAAATTATATACTTTCTTACACAAGATCAAATGGTGATATTCATTTTGGCTTGAAAGTTTTTGTGTGGTGAATTAGTGATGAAAAATGTATCCGAAATCAAAGCAATAAAACAGGTAGAAGTTTATTTGAGAAATCAAGTTGTAGAACTGACAAATCCAGCATAATCCTCTTCTCGAAACTAAATAAATAAATAAGGCCAGCATAACCAAAAAGGGCTCAGATCAGGGGGATTACCGAGAAATGTTTGAACTAGACCGTAAACACTTCAAGAACTAATTCAATTTGTAGGTGACCAGATCTTAAGCATGTTGACTGTTTTTTCTTTCTAAACCGAGTTGCCATGTGTATTAGTGAGTAATTAATGATGAAATATTGTGTTCTAAATCAAAGCTACTATATTATATAAGCATGCAGAAGGCAGCATGGCAAAGCCTGCACAAGCCTGTATTGCCGGGAGAGAGAAAAATATATACAAATCCAGCACAAATGGACAGTCAGAAAGAGCTCAAACCTCTTTGTAACCATGCACATTACTGAATTCCTTTTGCAAGCACCAGAAACACTATACACTGCATAGCGGTGCGCTCAAGAACATGATTCAGTAAGATAAAAGGAGCAGAAGAGAACTGGCCAATCAGACAGGAGCTGCTATGAGATCGATTCATCATCTGAGATGAAAGAAAATGGAGACGGAGACCACCCACAGCCACAGCAGGCCGTGTGGCTCGCCTAGAAGGAGGCCTTGCACTTGAGGACGAAGCCGAGCAGCAGCAGCGTGGCCATGAGGCCGCAGGAGGAGCCCCCGACGCGGTGGATCCAGTAGGGGTCGAACCTGACGACCCTCCGGTCGACGAAGCACGCCACGTTGATGGCCAGGATGAGCACCACCAGCAGCGCCGGCAGCCACAGCGCCGACGGCAACAACAGGCCCCATCCCTCCTCCTCCTCCTCCTCCTCCGCCTCCAACTCCCGGTCCATGTACAGCGGCGACAGCACGGCCAGCGCCGCCAGGGCCACGCACACCAGCTTCTCCGTGGAAGACGGCCTCCCCATGCTCGTGATGCTGTCGATCAGCCGCTGTCGATTGCACACGCTCCAAGTGCAAAGTAGACTCTCCTGCACTCTCTGGCCCGAAAGTCTAAAGGTCTTTACCATGTGATCGTGGTGCTCTCCAGAATTTCTCTCTTTTATTCTGTGTTTGGCTGGACCAATCTTGAGAGGCAAGCACACGAGCACCTACCGATATCTATGCTTTTGATCAGCAAACCTTTTTGACTATCGATCGATCCGTATCATATAAAGGATGAAACTCATGGGCACTAGCACCCATGGTTTATTGATATAGGAGAAGCATTCCTTGTGAGAAACCAGAAATTTGTCCCCGACGTGGCTCGAACCCTGGTTGCTGGAGACGCCACTGCGCTTCCTTGCCACTGGAGCGTATCATATAAAGGAACATATTCAGATTTGTGCATTATTATCCACTGATCGTTGGTGTGGGCGGTACTGGGCTGTTATGTAAAGCCGCAAAGGGGAGATTCTTTCTTCACCTTCGTAGCTGGTGAGCATGGAATCGGATGCCGAGACAAGCTGCTCGAGCTCGACAACCCGAATATTGCGCGGTTACGGACGCGCGCGTAGGATCGAACCAGCCGGGCTTGTGCTTGAAGCTGCGCCCATGCAGCAACATGGCTCTACAACTTTTTGCTGTACCTGTACGGCACGATGAGTCCTCTTACACGTGTTCTTAGCATAAGCTAAACTATATCAAGATTTGGCTCTCATTTTTGTTTGTTTTGCCGGGATAAAAGTGTTTTATTCGAGAATTATAGAGTTACAGTCAAGAGTCAAATATCCTCATTACATGAAGGCCGTCCATATAGCTACACACCTATGCTACGCTCGGTACGGCTATATCTCGCTAAACAATCTGCTACCCTATTCTGACTACGATGAAACTTTTGTGAAATAAACATCTGGTTCTCTCTCATGGACTTGATCTCCAAAGCTAGATAACCATATGAAGAGCGAACAAGTGAATCATCTCTAAAGATCGATAGAGCCACTAATGAATCTAACTGCACGACAACTGAAACCTCAGTGCACCGACTGACCTATCGCAGGCTCCGACGACCAACCCCGTGGTCGGAGCGAACATATCTTCGTCCTGATATGGGTCTTCGAGCCCGCCCCCAGGCAGCCGTTGTAGCCGCCGAGACGCCCACACATCCCAGGCCGCCCACCTCACCATAACGCCAATGCAAGAGACGTGACGGCGCCGCCCGCCGCCATGAACTCCCCAAATCGTGGAGGACGCCGTCGCGGGAGAGAAAGAATCGGCCCCGCCGTCGCCCGCTCCACCCCCGCGGGAGGCACCGGAAACGTCAAGGGGAGGAGGGGGTGGGGGTGGCTGGGCGCTCGGTGAGTGGGGTCGCCGCCCGTGTCGCTCCTGGGGAGGGAGCCACGCGGGGATGGGGCCACGTACTTATTTGATAGATCATTTACAAACCGTGACATGCATGACTCATCACATTAAGCACTCGGCCGGATCATGTGTACATTAACACTACCACTCTATTGCAAAAGTATAAACAAATAAACTAGCACCACGGCGCGGCGGGTGTGGTGAGCAATATCCAAATCATTCAAAAAGAACTAGCAAAAACAATGAGCTCAAGGTTTTCTTCCTTTCAAAGGGTCAAAAGCCATATATTAAACAATTCTCTGTCTCCGAGCTCCATTTTATGCTTTTTGGTAAGTTTTATCCGTAAGATTTATGGCCCCACACACGATCGTAGTGCATCCTGAGGGCCTCTTTGATTCGCAGGATTCTAAAAATATGCGAATAGAAAAACATATGATTGAAATATCATGCTCATCTTAATACTTCAGGATTTTAGGTTGTTTGATTGCAGCATAGAATAAAATAAATAATTCTTTCAAAAATGTTTGAGTGGATGCTAGAAATCCTATGAAAAGTAGTACGGAAAAATCCTTAAAAAAAATTCCTATATAATTCAATCCTATGAATCAAACAACCACCATAGAAAATCAAACAACCAACATAAAAAAATTATAAGGATTCTAATCCTTCAAAATTCTTATGAAAATCCTTTGAATCAAATGAGCCCCAAGTCTAGCTCGTTGCTGCACCTACTCCGCACCCCTTGAGCCTATAACTATAGCCGGGAAGTCATCAACCATTGCCAGTGGATGACAAAGACGATGATCCAAAGCACGGACCGTTGATCTAGACAATGACGATGATCCAAAGCACAGACCGTTCTTTCCACGTTTAACTGATCTCTATCTACTGACAAGAGATTATTCTTTATATATACATGCGCAATACAAGGGCGCCGTGTTGCGAGCCGCTGTTGTGAGCGGGGGCCTCCGGTGTTGTGAGGGCGCAACCGGTGCTACGGGAGAGACGTGCGATGAGGGGGTCCTGGGATATGCGGGAGCACGACGGGCGAGCCTAGCACCGGCTTTACAAAACTGATATATTAAACTTGTCAGAATAACTCAGGAAGTAAAACAACGGCACATCCATCAGTATCATTTTTCTTTTAACAACGGCCGCTCAAAGCCAGGTAGACCAATACATTATTCCTATGTTACTTATCACTTGGAAACCATTCACAGCACGGATGGTTCAAATCTTTGGAGGGGGAGGACAGACGGTGCAAATACACGCGAAGTCATGCTCACAACTAGCAACAGCGTTGCTTCCCCATATTTTGTTGCAACGGTATTGGCACACCTCCAAATTGCAATTCCCTTTGTACCAGAATGTTTCGCAGTCCACGGCCGTCACCTTCATGGCCACGCCTGTGGATCGATCCCAGAGCAAACAACGAAGAGAAAATCAGTATTAAAAGATTACCATGGATCTGCTACGAGGTTCACATCACCACGATTTTGTCATATAGATAGAGGAGGTACAGCAATTGCTCCTACATGGAAAAGAATTTGCTTGGAGGAGGAATGTACGTGCCTCAAGATAGAACCACAAGGGCAAGGACCAGGAAGAACAAGCAGCCAGTCCTCATCTTAGATTTGTTATGAATTTTGGCTAATGATCACCGCACCAAATGGCTCCTGAAGATGATCAGATGTCGGTGTGTGGTAACTAGATGGCTGGCTATGCCGGGTTTATGTAGGATGTTCTTGCTTATCTTGTCTGGAGATATTAATTATGCTATACTAAATGCAAAATTAATGACAAGTTGAACCAAATTATTTTACCAAATTAAGAGCAGTCAAGGATTAGAGACGTTTCCCAAATGTAGGCATACACTTTAGGCTGGTCACAGTGGGGGGAACTTAGGAGTAACATCACACACTCCAATACAACTTTGCTTATGTGGCACGTATTTAGTGAAGAGAGAGGTGCTTGTGGTAACTAGCTAAGTTATCGGAACATCACACACTTCAAGAAACAATGAGACAATAACCTAATAAATACATCGTTGCATGACACTACATAGATGTTCCTATCCACTATGGTGGTAGTAACATAGTCTAGGGAAGTGTGAAGTTACTAGTTTATGTTCTTGCCCATTGTGACCAGCCTTAGTAAAGAGCACCCTAATTTGAGGCTTTTGAGCACTGTACCGTGACAACAATAAAAATTCACCCCTAAAAAAACTATAATACTCCCTCCGTTCCTAAATAATTGTCTTTTTAGGATTTCAAATGGACTACCACATATGGATGTACATAGACACATTTTAGAGTGTATATTCACTCATTTTGCTCCGTATGTAGTCACTTGTTGAAATCTCTAGAAAGACAAATATTTAGGAACGGAAGGAGTATCTTTGTAGAGGGACCAATATTATGCCTTGTAACATGCTCCGTGCTAGTGATAATTTCATTAAAGAGTAAAATGTTTCCTTAACTTTTTTTGTGAGGAACACAATACAAATGCAGACTCTTATATACATCATGAACACTTATCTCTATGGATGCAACCACACACTCCCTATCTCTGTGAGCATCTTTGAGAGATAGAGACAACAGATCTTGAGATTGACAAAGTTGACACATGAGCGATCTTAAAAGTTTCTTCGGTGCTTCTGGTAGGTCATATAAGTTTAAAAACACCCATCTAGGTCCATTATGTGAGTAAGACATCTATGGCGGGTCCTAAGAGCATCTATAGCCGAGCGCACCAAACCGGCCTCAACGTCCGGGCGGCCAGCCCGGTCACTGACCAGTCACGAAAATCTGACCCAGATGGGCGCCTCAATCAGGCCTCAAACGCCCGGACTAACCGACACCCCTTATATCCAACCCAAATATGGAACGGGTATGTGGAAGCCCGGGCGCGCCTAGGCGCATCCGCCGACCCCGCTGCAGGTCGTGGCGGTCCCACTTGCAGCGACTGAAGCCCTGTCCTCTCTCATTGGGGCACCGAAAAATTTAGTCCCACGTCATCGGGCGAGGCGGATGTCAACCGGCTTAAATAGCCGTGCCGGCGCATGGCGGCAAGCTTCTCTGTTGGTGTGTAGGTCTATCAATTACCGCTGTGTGAGCGAGGTAACTTGACACTAGACTACATTTCATCAGTTGATAATTATTGGTCGAGTGTCAAGTTCGTCTCGTTCATGTACGTGGATACCCTTACTACAATGCAGTAGATATTCTATTTTGTTCATGTTTTTTTGTTGACAAAATGTGATTTATAAAAAGCAGTATGGATATGATTGTTTCTCTAGTAAAGGAGATAGACCCTGACTATGAATCTTTTGTGTGATAAAACATAGAAGATTTATAGTAACAGTCTATCTTCTTCACAAAGGATCCAATAATGTCATCGCTTCCGCACAACCCGACTATTTAAGCCGGTTGACTAGCTCGTCACGCGGCGAGGTGAGACTAATACGGGTGTGAAAATCTTAACTATAAGCATTTTTTGGTGTGTTTTGACCGTCCAACCGGCCCAAGACAGGCGGGATGATCGTCGTGCATGGCGCTGCATGTAATAGGTGTTTCGAAAATAGGGTATGTGGTTGCAAGTGGTCAATTTTGAGGCCCTCCCAGTCACTGTTCGCGGATGTTCGAGGGGCCAGATTTGCACCCTGCAGTTGTAGATGCTCTAAACTGGTCTGACCATGCCAGGTGGTCGGTTGACCCATGCCATGTAGGTT